GGGGGGACGGGAACAGTTTTCCAAGTGAAAAGCAAACACTGGCAATGTACTCCCCAAATGCTTTAAGGCAGAAAATTGACACAACCACCAATTATAGCTGAGTCTACATACACTAAAGACACAGAAACTGATGGTGCTAAGAACCTCTGGGGACAATTCTGAAGTTAAAACAAAAGATTAAATGATAGAAGTTTATGAAGCTACCTGATTTCCAGATCCTGATTACAGAGTTCCTGTATAATTTTCAATTGTGAAGCTGGGCAACTTTCTGGGCCCAGGAAACACAGGAACGTTATACTTCACAACATGCAAGTTACAGAAATTCTCGTTTAAAGCAGCCAGTTACAAATACATATGTCATGTTCCCACACCACACCCCAGGACTCTTCTCAGTTCAAGTTGTCAGAAGTCTGATACACCTTCACTTTCAGACAGGAGTTTCTAATCTTCCCTGTGGAATTTTACCAACCTAAAAAAAAAAACTAATCTAAAAATAGTAACACAGATAAGATTTCGTTACAGAATAATCCAACCAATCATTAGGCAGTAAATCTCAACTCGCACTCACACCTTAGAAATTACACTTGACTAAGCAGACAATCACTACCACCAAACACTGAAGAAAAGTTCCTAGTTTCAAACAAAACCTATCCAAACGCTAGCAAACACACAGCACTTAAGTCAAAAAAAGACAATATTCAAGCACGGAAAATTACCGCGGTAGTTAAGAAACAAAACTCAATAAACCAAATACAGGATTCTATATAGAAAAAAAAATGAATCATAACACAATCTCTTGAAAATAAGATAGTAAATATGTGGGCTAGGGTGAAATAAAAATCAACAGGTTGGAAGATGAAGCTGGGGAAAGCTACCAGAACAGAATAAAAGTAAACCAAGGACAAAAACGTCAGGTTTCTTTTAAGAGGAAATCCTCCTACTCACCCATTTAAAATAAATAGATAAATAAAAACAGGAAATCTAGAGAGAAAATAAACAAGGACCAGGTAACTAGCCATCGGTTTTTCTAGGACAATCCCGACTTTTAGGCTCAAAGTTCAAACTTTGAAATGTCCTAGATCCAGGGAAACAAAGACAGTTGGTCAATCTAACAAGGAATGAAAACAAATGCTAAAGAAATAAGATACTTTTACTTTCTGAGTAACAGATAGTACTTGAGCTAACATAAAAGCAAATTACCAAGACATACAGGTAATTATAGTATTAAAAAATAAAAGTGGTTAAGATACAAGCCATTTAAAATCTGAGAAAATAGCTCTGAAAAGGCTGAGGCAGGACAACTATGAACATGAGGCCACCTATAAAAAAAGCTTACAAAAGAGGAAAAGATGAATGACTAAAGCACACTCTACAGCTGACAGCAACACAACCAGGCATAAAGAGCAACATTTGGAGGTCTCCTGTCTTCAGTAGGATGAAACAGAGTATGGAGACCATATGGAGGAGAAGTATGGAGGTATATGGAATTAAGAAAGTGATATGATCAAATAAAAGTAGAAAAACATCAAAAAAGCATAAAATTCAGGGAAATAATTTAGATAAAAATGAAACATTTATTTCGTATAGTACAGACATTTATAAATTCATGTAATACAAGTATAAGCAGAAAACAGAAAGTTTATGTTAAGCGGAAGGTTGGGGAAGTTAGACACAAAGTTCTCATAAGTCTTAGGATAAATAGCATAGTGGTGTAGTGCAGGTTGGTTTGAGGTTCCATCTTTGGAAATAAAGGGATTTTAAAGGGTCCTCAGGCTGGAGAGATGGCTCACTGGCTGCTCTTCTAGAGGTCCTGAGTTCAATTCCCAGCTACGACATGGTGGCTCACAAACCATCTGTAATGAGATCTGGCAACCTCCTCTGGCGTGTGGGCATGCATGGAGGTAGAATGTTGTATATATAATAAATAAATAAATCTTAAAAAAAAAAAAAAGGGTCCTCATTTTCCATAAGGACAATAAAAGATCAAGCCAGGAAGTGGTAGCACATGCCTTTAATCCCAGCACTGAGGAGGCAGAGGCTACTTTCTAAGTAGCCCTAATGAAATTTGCTGGGTTCACTCACACACACATACCATCACATCCCTTACAACATTTAGCTAAGGGAAGAGGAAGGAGAATATTAAAGGAAACAAAAAAAGTAATAGACATGATTGGATTACATGAATATAGAAAGCCATTTTGTATAACTATATATATACATATAAAAACTCTTTCCTTTCCCCTTCCTTCTTCTGCATACCTTCCACCCCTTTCTTTCTTTATATATACATATAAAAACTCCTTCCTTCCTTCCTTCCTCCCTCCCTCCCTCCCTCCCTCCTTCCTTCCTTCCTTCCTTCCTTCCTTCCTTCCTTCCTTCCTTCCATGGTTCCACTATGTAGTCCTAATTAGCCTCAAACTCACGAAGACCTGCATGCTTCTGCATCTGTCTCCAGTCTGCTGGGACTGAAGATGTGCACCACACCACACCTGGTACTAGAAACTATTTCTTTAAGGTGACTGGCTGGAAGGGTTGAGAAATGAATCATCACTTATCAGCAGTGGTTGTTCTTCTACACAACCCTGGTTTGATTCCTAGTACCCAAATGTCAGCTCACAACTGTAACTCCAGTTCCAGGGAATCTGACACCCTCTGTCTAAGAGGGAGCCATGCATGACCATGGTAAACAAACATAAATACAGTCGAAACACCCATATACATAAAAAAAAATTAAAATGTTGTTAGTGAGAAAAGAAAGCTCAGCAGGCATAGCAGTGCATGCCTGTAATCTCCACACTAGAGAGGCTCAGGCAGAAGGATCAGGAGTTCAGGTCTTCTAGAGTAAGCTATAGTTCAACCTTACTTGCATAAAAGAGACCCTGCCTCAAAAGAAATGAAGAAAGAAAGCTGACATTTGAGGAGAGTCTGAAGACATGGCCTGTAGTATTTTACTATGTCCCATCACCTGACCATGGAACTACCTTAAGAATTAAGAACCTGGCCAGGCGGTGGTGGCGCACGCCTTTAATCCCAGCACTTGGGAGGCAGAGGCAGGAGAATCTCTATGTGTTCGAGACCAGCCTGGTCTTCAAAATGAGTGCCAGGAGAGGCTTCAAAGCTACACACAGAAACCCTGTCTCAAAAACAAACAAAGAAAAGAAAAGAAAAGAAAAGAAAAGAAAAGAAAAGAAAAGAAGAAAGAAAGAAAGAAGAAAGAAAGAAAGAAAGAAAGAAAGAAAGAAAGAAAGAAAGAAAGAAAGAAAAGAGATGAATAACTTGAGTGAAGTACTGAGAAGAGGAAAGGAAGAATATCAATCTTCGGCATTTTAATAATGTAAACAGAATCCAATTTACTGGCTATGAAAACTACAGTTTTCTAACAGAAACTCCCACAAAGAAAGCTATAAGTTATTACTTCATTTCAAGTGAGAAAAAGGAATAGACATTAATATTTCTAGTTGTCAAGAAAACCTGGGCAGATAAATAAAGGACATTGAGCCTATAATTAGTGATCCTAGAGAAGCTAAATAAGGAGAACCCAAAGAAAAACATATAGGCACCCTCCTGAATATTAACCTTCATCAGGCGATGAAAGGAGACAGAGACAGAGACTCACATGGGAGCACCAGACAGAAATCTCAAGGTCCAAATCAGGAGCAGATGGAGAGAGAGCACGAGCAAGGAACTCAGGACCGCGAGGGGTGCACCCAAACACTGAGACAATGGGGATGTTCTATCGGGAACTCACCAAGGCCAGCTGGCCTGGGTCTGAAAAAGCCTGGGATAAAACCGGACTCGCTGAACATAGCGGACAATGAGGACTACTGAGACCTCAAGAACAATGGCAATGGGTTTTTGATCCTACTGTACCTATTGGTTTCGTGGGAGCCTAGGCAGTTTCGTGGATGCTCACCTTACTAGACCTGGATGGAGGTGGGTGGCCCTTGGACTTCCCACAGGGCAGGGAACCCTGATTGCTCTTTGAGCTGACGAGGGAGGGGGACTTGATTGGGGGAGGGGGAGGGAAACAGGAGGCGGTGGTGGGGAAGAGACAGAAATCTTTAATAAATAAATTAAAATAAAATAAAAAAAGAAACCCTGGGCAGAATGGGGTATCAAGCTTTTTCAGCAAGTCTTTCATTTCCTTTTGATGCCAAAGTTACTAAACTTCCAAATCCCATTGCATTACCTACACAATTTTAAATGATGTCACCTTTCTAATAATCATATGATATAAGTAAACAAAAAATGTTATGGTTAAGCAAGCAAGGAGCTTGCTTACTACCAAACTTAAAGACATCAGAATCCAAAGTAGGAAAGAATCAAGTTGTCCTCTGGCCCCCATAAGCACCACAGCACATGCCCAGGTATGTGTGTGCATAGCTATAGATTTAGTGCTCAACAACAGGGTTAACACCTGAGGCTCTGTATTAAGTTAGGCTGATTTGGTATTAGCTGAAGTTTTTGAATAAGAACATTAGTGAGAGTGCCGATCTGAAGGCTCAGCCAGTGCTGACACTGGGGTGAGAACCTGAATTTGATCTCCAGGACCCACAGGGTGGAAATAAACATACGTACAAAGACATATGTTTACCCACAAACATAAGAAACAAAAGTAACTTTTTTTTTTTTAAAAAAAATGCTAGCAGCAACCATTCAACAACCATTCAAAGGCTTTCAATAATTAAGGAATTCCTTAGCTCTATCTAGCCAACCTTATAGGACTCAAAAAAGAAAGACTGTCTGAGCACCAAAGTACTACGCTATATGCTTGCAATCCCAGGCTAAAGTATGAAGATCACAATGCTTGAAACTAGTTTGAGCAACATGCTGAGACTGTCAAGAATTTCAAAACGTAAAGAAAATTAAGACCCTTAAACTTGTTATAAAATGTAAAAAGGGCTAGGTAGTGGTTAACACATGCCTTTAATCCAAGCATTCAGATGACAGAGGCAAATGGATCTCAGTTTGAGGTCAGCCTGGTCTACAGAGTAAGTTCCAGAACAGCCAGGCTACACAGAGAAATGCTACTACCCACCTACCCCCAAAATGAAAAGGATGTGGCTTATGTTCTTAAGTTCTTTGTCCTTTATTTCTTACAACAGAACAAAGGGAACAGCTTCAATATGACCATAATCAGAAGTTATAAAGTCAGTATCATCTGTCTGCCTCAGTTACAAGAAAAAAGTCTCCTGAGAAGAGGGGTGGAGTGAAGTGGAGAGGGGAGCGGAAGGGGAAAGGGAAGGGGGAAAGAGAAAGCGAAAAAGAGCATGAGCACATGCGTGTGCACCAAGGTAGTTCAAAAAGAAAAATATACAGCACTATGCTTCTTCCATGTGTTTCTTTGCTTAAAATACTGCTCCTACTCTCCTACCAACTTCAACATGACAATATTCCTTCCATTAACTTAAGTGCCTAGTAGTACGTGGAATGTAAGAAGCACCTTTTAAAAGCACCTTAATAAGTCAAAATATTGCACTTTTTAAATCTAGTACAGAACACCAACTTTTCCCCCATGCTGACATTAGGAAATGACTGATCAGTAGATACTGTAAAGACAAACATACAGACAATAAGATTACTTAGCACTAGTAAGTTAATTACTAAGCAGCAATAAGTCTGTCTCTGCAATTTAACTTGTATTTCAATTGAAATGCATTGCCATATGGAGATAAGATAGTAAATCTGAGAAAATAAATAAAACTAACTTGAAAGCATAGTCACTCCTGACCAACCAGGAGATGTTCTTTAAGTAAAGAAAGATTGTCCCATAAACTTACTTGCTAATTTGGCCTGTAATCCAGAAGGTCCAGGTTTTGATGTCTCTGACTTAGAAGACCCTGGAAGAGACAGTTTTGTTTTAGGTAGGCTAACTTTAGGGCTGAAACGAGCAGCCCAATCAAATTTTGAAGAGCCACCAGTTTTACTCTGCTCCTTTTCCCTGCTACTTCTTCTGGGACTAGGACTGGATGCTGAACGGGAACGCCTGGCCTTGTTCTGGTCTTTTCCTTGTTTCACCCTGGCACCTGGTGGTACAGTCGAAGAGGCTGAGGCTACAGCCGAAGAGGAGGAGGAAGTAGAGGCAGTAGAAGAAGAATCGGTGATGGTGCTACACCCAGCTTTGGCTGAGGTGGCTGATTTTGAAGCCAGCTTGGTGGGTTTTGCAGATCTCTCTTCGGCACCAGTTGATTCAGACCCAGGACCACTCTTTACACAAGAACTCTCTGTCCTCTTTCTTTTCTGACTCCGTGAACTACCAGCAGCCACACTCTTTCTGGTGTGAGCCTTGCTTGTTGATGGCAATTGTGCAGATTTCACTTGTTGCTCCTGGTCTAAATGTCTCTTCTTTGACTTACTGTGTGGCTTATTGGTTTCTGAGAGAGAATCAATGTGCTGAAATGCTCTGGGCTTTTTCGCAGAGCTAGGAGAATTGGTCCTGTTGTAGTCTGGACTAGCACTGCGTTTCACTCCTCGAGAATTGTCTTTCTTAGGCACCTGCCCCGTTTTCTGCCTTTCAGAAGTATTGGCTCTGTCTGGATCCTCTGGTTGTGGAACTATGACAGTAGATGAACTGCAGCTTCTAAGAGGTTAGATAAGAAAAAGAGTTAGTAGTAGCATATCACGAGTAAACCTGCCATCTAACACTTAAGCCTAAAGCTCTCCAAAATCCCTAGACTAAATACTTGGGGGGGGGGGGGGGGGGGGGGAAGGGACACGACACAATTTTTGTGAAATCCAATATTAACATTTTCAAATAGTTCAAAAACAAAAGAGAAACACTGACTTTTTAAATGTCTTGTTAGGGAAAAAAAAAAGCATACTTTTTACAGGGAGAAGAGGGAGGAGGTATTCTCTCTCTCTCTTAGCCCAGAATTGTCTATAACTAAGAAGAGTTTAGCTAAGACTGTCTTTGAACACTGGTCCTGCTTCTATTCCCATGTGCTGGGATTTCAGGCTTGCGCCACAATACCCGGCTCAAAGTGATCCAAAGATCACTGACACTGACAATCCTGATCAAAAGAGTTTATTGTTTTTAAAAAAAAAAAAGAATGCTTATTGGTTCATAACCACTAAGCTAGAATACTTAAGTTCCATTCTAAAAGACATGTTTTCCCAATCTGTAGAGGAAATAAGCATAAATCATTTCTGAAAGGTTGGACACCATCTTAGAAAACAATCTTCTCAGTAGCACCCTTTGCAAAGCCTCCTACCAACTGGAGATGTAGAGAGATGGCTGTTTAAAGAGTACTTGCTGCTACTGATTCCCAGCACCCACGTGGACCCACTACCCTCTTCTGGCCTCCTCTCGCATCCACATATATGTAATACACATAAATAAAATAAAATTTCCTTTAAAAAGAATATTGACTTGTACTAACAAAAAAAACTGACTTAAACAGGTGCTGACAATCAGCATTTAAAAAATGTTAATTAAATGACACCATCAACTGCCAACAATGGGGCACAAGCAATTAAGAGGAGCTGAGTTCAGTTCCCAACACCCTGACCAGGTGGCTCACAACTAACTCCAACTCCAGGGAATCCAATGCCCTCTTCTGGTCTGTAGGCATTGGCTCTCATGTGCACACACTCACCAAGATATATATACACACACAGGGTTTTTTAAATGCCTAACATGGTTTGTTAAGCAAATGAGGAACCTCATGACTCCCCAGTAAGTAAAAATTTCATCGACTAAGGTATGTATAAGTGATACCACCAGAAAGGGGATAAAATATATACTCAGAGGAAAAAAAGAAAACTTGTGTAGATAACTTTGTAAACTTTAATATTATGCAATAATTCAAATGCAATTTGTCTCCCTTGAAATTGTACAAGCAATGTGAAAATTTACCTTTTAGAAAGGTGTCCCCTTGACAGTTCAGAAGTGGTATTAGACTGCACTTTGGGTGCCTTAAAATTAGATTTTCTACTCTCAGGAGGGATATATCCCTTATGTTTTGCCTGCCCTAAATGTGACCTGTCAGCAAAAAATCAAAACAGAAATCTATCAGGACACTGAGATGCAAATACAGTATCGAAAGTGAAATTTTTACATTAAAAAAAAAGGTCTCGCAAATCAGAGTTGACCTACACTTCTTCCAAATATTCATTAAATTGAGATCCTATCAAATAATCTGCAAAAAGTAATTTTTGTCTTGGACCCAACCACCTCTATAACCAAAAGTGAAGATTCCTAAGTATCAGTTACCAAAAGGCAGTGTTTACTTGAGTAAACTTTTCAGATTTCATTACAGAAAATCAAATATTTTTACACAAAACACACACATAAAGCATATGTTACTTTTAATATCAGTGTATGCTAATACACAGTAGGTTGACTAAATGACAATGTACTATATATCCCAAACTGAATTCTGGATGTATTAATGAGGAAGAAATGATAAATAACACAGATATATTTGACTTGATATGTTTAACATTATTACATAATGCAACATATATAAAAATACATTATTACATAGTATCCCATTAATGTGGAATTTTTATACTTAAAAAAGTTAAAAAAAGGAAAATGGCTTTAAAGATTCATTATAGCTGGCTAAGCAGACCAGCGGTAAAGTATGTGCCCAGTTATCATGCTTGACAAGATCTTGGTTTCAAGCTCAAGCACAGAAAGTAGGGAACCTATTTTTGTTTTTTCTTTAAAAAAAAAAAAACTGAAGAAAAAAGGCAATTATGATTCAAAAAATGATAATTTCCAATTTGTACATTAAAATTCAGGTAAGGACATTAAATGAGAAACCCATTTTCAATCTGGTTTTGCATAAAAAATCAATGTGGGTATTAAATAGTAAATAAAACATTATAAAATCAAGACAGTATTAATAGAAAGTACACATGTGCAAATGTACACATACATCATCCTGGAGACAATAAAATTTACCACAAAACATTAGTTCATGTCCAAAAGACTCCAGTGATATACCTACATTTTGTTTATTTACAACAAATTGTTGTATCAATGCCATCATTATTCTAAAAGCAAGTTTTGAAGAAATTGTGTCAACTGTTAGATCTTTTGTGTAACCAGTCAGGGTCTACCTGATAATTACATAGACAATAAAAAGGTACATAAACATCTATCAAAAAACTCATCTTAATAAAAATAATTGGGACCCATGTTCCTCATAAAAGTGTTCTAATAAGGAATGAGAGCACAGTGTTATTAATAATGAAGACAGTTGCATATCTAAAAATAAATTGACTAGGGTAGAATAACTTGAACTAATTTGTATGCAGTAGGTCCTGGATTTGGTCCTAACTTTGCAAATTGTTCTATAGTTACTTACAAAGAAAGGTATAATATTTTTTTTCAGAAAAGAATTTAGTAGCAACAGAATCTTTATATACTATATCATCCAGATACTATATTATTTTCATAGTTTTCCTGTTATACTAGTTATACTTGTACTGGAGAATGAACTCAGGGCCTTGCACATGCTAGACAAGTGATCTACTCCTGATCTGTCCTCAAAAGTTTAATAGTTTAAAAATCATGAATTATTCATTCAAAACTAACCATGTTTTTGAGAAATAATAATTGAGCCGGGGGTGATGGTGCACCCCTTTATCACCAGCACTAAAGAGGCAGAGGCAGGCAGATCTCTGGGAGTTAAGACCAGCATGGTCTACAGAGCTAGTTCTAAAAAACAGTAAGAGTTACACTAAGAAGCATTGTCTCAAAAATACAACATCAACCTCTGGCTTCCACAAGTGCATACATTGGCTCCTATATACTAACACGTAAGTAAGTAAAATGGAGGCTGAAGAGATGGCTCAGTGGTTAAGAGCACTGTTTACTCTCCCAGAGGACCTGGGTTCAATTCCCAACACCCACATGACAGTTCCCAACTGTCTATATATAACTCCAGGTCTGGGGGACCTGACACCCATGGCAAAACACCAATGTATATCAATTGAATAAAATAAAAGCAAAAAGTGTTACATAGCCCAAATAAATCACAAAAAAAATAAAATTCTTTATCATCAAAAATTAACCTACTATAAAAAGCAGAACTATTCTTTCAAAGCAAAATTATTCTTGGGTTTTTAATTAAAGTCCATTAAAAAATTTTTGTAGAATTAGAATGCATTTATCATGACCTTACTAAGACTTTCAATGAACTAGGAAACAGCATATAAATTCTCAGTGTCAGGCCACAAAGGTAAACTCTATTCGATCAGATCAAAACTGAGCCAGGCAGTGGTGGTACACACCTTTAATCCCAGCGCT